TGTTGTTGTTGTTGTTGTTGTTGTTGAACATTATTAATTCTAAAGAATAATTATTGTTGGGACCCCTGGTGCACGGCCCCCCCGCGCCGCCTAGGCCGCAGCTACATTTTCATCATTTTCGTGAGGAAGCTCAGAAAAGTGATGTCCAGATCCGGTTGTTTTGTTGTAATCCGTTTTCCCTTGCAAAAAACACTATAAAATGACATTTCTTGTTCTAATATAATCAAATTTCAAGAATCCCTTGCAAAAAATAAGGTAAAGTGGACATTCGCGCGCGCAAGACGAAATCCTTCCAAAAGCTTAGTGTTCGGAGCGATTTTAACATAAAAACATCAAAAAACCAATGGTTTTTCAACAAAAAAATGTCAAAATCTCATCCCGCGCGCTCTTGCGGATTCGTAGGAAACCCAACACTTTTTAAACATTTCTGTCAAACGGGCTTTTGCGAGCAACTTTTTCGAACTTCTGCGACAACGGTTGCGCACCTGCCAGGGCCATCATCCCTGTCAAATAATACCATGCGGGACACATTCGTTTTTTGCGCGCGCACGCCGAAATCTCCAAAAACCATTGGGTTCTTAAGAATTTTAGCACCGCGCATCATAAAATCACACGAATCGCACCGTAGGTCCTCGAAAAACACCTGCGCGACTTTTCAAAATTGTTGTCGCTTCGCGAATCCCCACCAGCCCATCCAGAAACGATGCCCAGAGGAATTGCCTCGATCAGAGAAGTGGGCAGCACACAGAGGAAGCCATTATGAGACATCTTGGGATATCTTGAGCCATCTTGGAGGTCATTTTGGGCTCTCCCAGACGCTCTTGGAGTCATCTTAATCCGTGCCCCCCCCCAAGAGGCCTCCATGTGGCTAAAACCTGTGTAGAATCAATGATTAGGCATTCTCGCCGAGGCCTCTTGGAGCATCTTGGGTGCATCTGGGGGGGCTCTTGGGGCCTCTTGGGGGTCTCTTGGGGGCCTCCGGGGGGCCTCTTGGGGGCCTCTTGGGGCCATTTTGGGGCCATCTTGGGACCTCTTGGGGCTTCCTGGGCGCTTCTTGGGGCCATCTTGGAGGAGATCGATCAAACAAGAGGGGGGGTTTAATTAGCGTCCCCCCTCGGAAGCCCCTAAAATCGCCTCTTGGACCCCTCTTGGAACGCTCTTGGAGTGCTCTTGGGCGCTCTTGGGGCCGTCTTGGGGCTCTTTTGGGGCTCTCTTGGGGCCCTCTTGGGCCATCTTGGAGCCATCTCCAGGCCTCGGATGGCCATCGGAAGCGAAAAGGCGAGAAAGCAAAAATCATTGATTTTCCTTAGGTTTTGGGACGATTTTGGCCTCTTCGGGGCCTCCTTGGGGAGCTGTTTGGCCACTTGGAGTTATCTTGGGGCCGTCTTTGGGCTTCTTGGAACCATCTTAGGAGCCATCTCGAGCGATCTTGCGCTATCTTGAGCCATCTTGGAGCTCATCTTGGGTTCTCTGAGGCGCTCTTGGAGCCGTCTTGGGCCATCTGGGACGCTCTAACTACCCGCGGCCCCCCCCGTCCAGGTCCAGGGGAGGGGGTAGGGGGAGGGGTAAACCCCTCCCCAAGGGGGAAGAGGGAGGGGTGGAAGAGGATCTGCTCTAGACCACCTACGCCCAGAGGGCTGGTGGGATTTCCACCCGCGCGCGCTGTCCTAACAACTTCTGTGGGTGTGTACTCCACGCCAGTGTAGTAGCCACGGTCGTCCGCAGGCCACGAAGTGAAGTGTCCGAACGTCATAGGGCGGGAAGCTGGGTGTGGGTGGTGGCGAAGAGTCGTGTGGATATTTGGTAGAGCTTGCACTGCCCCCCCACAAAGTGGGGGTATTGGCTGGCGTCGCATGAAAACCCTGGCACTGGTGAGAACACTGAGCGTTCGGGTAAAGTGATTGTTGTTGTTGTTGTTGTTGTATGGGGGGGGAGCTAGGTCGCATGTGGGCTCACTGCAAGGTCTGGTTGGTCCCGCGGCCAGGAGGGCGTCGAGACATGATTTGGCTCACCCGCTCAGGAGTTCATCGCCAGGGTGACTCTTGGTGCTGTACCAAACGGTGCGCCTGGGTGCGGCCTTCGCGGACCCCCGACGTCGGCCGCAGCTCCTGCTTGTAGGGCCCGCCCCCCCCGAGCAGCAGCGCAGCAACGGTCACGCAGGGCAGCGGCCACCCTGACGCAGAGCCGGCGTTCGGACCTCCTCGGGGCAAAGTGGCCAGAGAGTGCCCGAACCCTTTTTGGGCCGCTTCTGCTCGATGGGGTAATTGTTGTCGCTTCGCGAATCCCCACCAGCCCATCCAGAAACGATGCCCAGAGGAATTGCCTCGATCAGAGAAGTGGGCAGCACACAGAGGAAGCCATTATGAGACATCTTGGGATATCTTGAGCCATCTTGGAGGTCATTTTGGGCTCTCCCAGACGCTCTTGGAGTCATCTTAATCCGTGCCCCCCCCCAAGAGGCCTCCATGTGGCTAAAACCTGTGTAGAATCAATGATTAGGCATTCTCGCCGAGGCCTCTTGGAGCATCTTGGGTGCATCTGGGGGGGCTCTTGGGGCCTCTTGGGGGTCTCTTGGGGGCCTCCGGGGGGCCTCTTGGGGGCCTCTTGGGGCCATTTTGGGGCCATCTTGGGACCTCTTGGGGCTTCCTGGGCGCTTCTTGGGGCCATCTTGGAGGAGATCGATCAAACAAGAGGGGGGGTTTAATTAGCGTCCCCCCTCGGAAGCCCCTAAAATCGCCTCTTGGACCCCTCTTGGAACGCTCTTGGAGTGCTCTTGGGCGCTCTTGGGGCCGTCTTGGGGCTCTTTTGGGGCTCTCTTGGGGCCCTCTTGGGCCATCTTGGAACCATCTCCAGGCCTCGGATGGCCATCGGAAGCGAAAAGGCGAGAAAGCAAAAATCATTGATTTTCCTTAGGTTTTGGGACGATTTTGGCCTCTTCGGGGCCTCCTTGGGGAGCTGTTTGGCCACTTGGAGTTATCTTGGGGCCGTCTTTGGGCTTCTTGGAACCATCTTAGGAGCCATCTCGAGCGATCTTGCGCTATCTTGAGCCATCTTGGAGCTCATCTTGGGTTCTCTGAGGCGCTCTTGGAGCCGTCTTGGGCCATCTGGGACGCTCTAACTACCCGCGGCCCCCCCCGTCCAGGTCCAGGGGAGGGGGTAGGGGGAGGGGTAAACCCCTCCCCAAGGGGGAAGAGGGAGGGGTGGAAGAGGATCTGCTCTAGACCACCTACGCCCAGAGGGCTGGTGGGATTCTCGCGACGTCTCCTCGGCGGGGTCCCACCAGCCCTCTGGGCGTAGGTGGTCTAGAGCAGATCCTCTTCCACCCCTCCCTCTTCCCCCTTGGGGAGGGGTTTACCCCTCCCCCTACCCCCTCCCCTGGACCTGGACGGGGGGGGCCGCTGGTAGTTAGAGCGTCCCAGATGGCCCAAGACGGCTCCAAGAGCGCCTCAGAGAACCCAAGATGAGCTCCAAGATGGCTCAAGATAGCGCAAGATCGCTCGAGATGGCTCCTAAGATGGTTCCAAGAAGCCCAAAGACGGCCCCAAGATAACTCCAAGTGGCCAAACAGCTCCCCAAGGAGGCCCCGAAGAGGCCAAAATCGTCCCAAAACCTAAGGAAAATCAATGATTTTTGCTTTCTCGCCTTTTCGCTTCCGATGGCCATCCGAGGCCTGGAGATGGCTCCAAGATGGCCCAAGAGGGCCCCAAGAGAGCCCCAAAAGAGCCCCAAGACGGCCCCAAGAGCGCCCAAGAGCACTCCAAGAGCGTTCCAAGAGGGGTCCAAGAGGCGATTTTAGGGGCTTCCGAGGGGGGACGCTAATTAAACCCCCCCTCTTGTTTGATCGATCTCCTCCAAGATGGCCCCAAGAAGCGCCCAGGAAGCCCCAAGAGGTCCCAAGATGGCCCCAAAATGGCCCCAAGAGGCCCCCAAGAGGCCCCCCGGAGGCCCCCAAGAGACCCCCAAGAGGCCCCAAGAGCCCCCCCAGATGCACCCAAGATGCTCCAAGAGGCCTCGGCGAGAATGCCTAATCATTGATTCTACACAGGTTTTAGCCACATGGAGGCCTCTTGGGGGGGGGCACGGATTAAGATGACTCCAAGAGCGTCTGGGAGAGCCCAAAATGACCTCCAAGATGGCTCAAGATATCCCAAGATGTCTCATAATGGCTTCCTCTGTGTGCTGCCCACTTCTCTGATCGAGGCAATTCCTCTGGGCATCGTTTCTGGATGGGCTGGTGGGGATTCGCGAAGCGACAACAATTTGGAAGGTGTCGGGGTTTACTTGGGGCCACCGTTGCTGGGTTCCAAGCCTACCTGATGTCGGATGGTGTATGGCAGACTGTTGCTTAGTTTGTGGCGGGTTCCGGACGTCTTCACTGACTGCATGTGCGGGTCTCTCTCTCCTGCTCCTCCTCCTCCTCCTCCTCCTCCTGCTCCTCCTCCTCCTCCTCCTCCTCTTCTCCTCCTCCTCCTCCTCCTCCTCTCTCTCTTTCTCTCTCTTTCCCTGCCCGTGCCTGCCTCACTTCATCTTTCCCTCTCTCTCTCTCTCTCTTCCTCTCTCTCTCTATATATATGTATCACGTTATCGTCTTTGCTCATTTCTTGTTTGTCTCTCTCTCTCTCTCTCTCGATATGTCTCTCTGTTTCTCTTTCTCTTCCTCTTTCTCTTTCTACTCTCTTCTCTTCTCTTCTCTGCCTGCCTGCCTGTCTGTCTGTGTCGCTCTTCCTCTTACTCTGCTTCCTCCCGCCCGGTTTGTTTCTACCTGGGGAAATCAGCCGCGTCCGCATGTTGTCGCGTCGCCAGGTCAAACACTGTCTGCCTGTCTTGTCTGTATTGTCCGCCTGTCTGCGTGACTGTCTCTCTGCCTTGTTCGCCTACTCCTGCAGCGGCGTGCCTCTAGCAACCCATACACGCTGTCTACTTCCTGATTCTCCCCATTCACTGCTAGACATGTTGCAGTGTTTTGGATTGACGTTCGTTTCACCGCTCCCCCATCGCAGGTGCTCAGACTGGAAGACGATTCGCTGAAGCTGCGGGAGGAGCTGAACACCGAGAAGCAGAAGGTTCTGGAGCTGAAGAAGGATGGCCACAGACGGAAGACTCTCGTGCAGGATCGGGGGCGAACATCTAACTGTGCTGTCTCCCGCTCCTCGTGCTACTCCTTGTGCATTGCTACTCCTCCTCCTCCTTCTTCTCCTCCCCCCCTCCCCACTCAGTGCCCCAATCCAGAGACCCCGCTTTACAAGATCGTAGCTTCCTGAGCTGGACACCTCGGCCTCGACTCGCCGACCATCACCCGGATAGCCGTGAATCGCGGTGCTTGGGGGGCCGCTGGGGGCAGAACCTCCCCGATGCCTTCGGCGCAGCCCTCCCTCGACTGGCGGCTCGCCGGACGTTTTTTTCCTCACCATCCTCTGGTGTTGGGTCCCCGTTTTGAATCAGCAGCGCCCCGCGTCCCCTCCCGGTCCTCCTCCCCCTCCTTCCTCCTGCCTCTGCCCTGGCACACCCCTGCCACGATTTCCAAGCCCAACAGTCTGCATGCAGTCGTGGGCTCATTTCGCTTGCCCCTGCCACGCTTTTCATCAAGCCCCAGAGGAGCTCCACAGAAGGCCTAAATGACAAAATGCGCTTGCAGTCGCGTGCTCAGTTTACCAGTTCGCTCGCCCTGACCCTCTTGGTCCATCTTGGGCCGTCTTGGAGTCCATCTTGGGCCATCTTGGCCGTCTTGGAGGCCACCGAGGCCGTCTTGGAGAAGTGGGTTGCGCAGCGGCGGGGCCTTCCAGGTGGCTGGCGGCATAGACCGAAGCCCCAAGGGGAGTTCTTTTGGAAAAGCACCAAAATCAAGACGTAGGATCTAGCACGCCAGGTACCCCTGTGATAGATCAACAGATAGCGGCGGATCGAAGACGCCTACGGCGAATCACCGCCGCCCCCTGCCTTTTTGGAAGCGCCTATGTGGCCGAACGTTGAGGCCAGACCTGCCAAGCTATCGGACCACGTGTTCCCCGAATCGGTTTGGAAAGCCTTCGGGGAACACGTGGGCATCTTGAAGGTCATCTTGGCCGTCTTGGAGGCCTCTTGGGCAAGCTTTGGGCGATCTGTGGGGCTTTTTGGGCCGTCTCGGGCCAGCTTCGAGCCAACTTCGGCCATCTTGGTGGGTTCCTGGCACGTCTGAAGCCGTCGGAAGCCGTTTGGGGGGCCTCTATGGGCCGACTTGGGGCCCGCTTGGAATGCTCCAGGGCCGTCTTGGAGGCCATCTTGGGCGTCTTGGAGGCCATCTTGGGCGTGTTGGAGGCCTCTTGGGCCCTCTTGGGGCCCTCTAGGGGCCATCTTGGAGGCCACTTGGGCCATCATGGGGCTCTCTTGGGGGCCTCTTGGGCGATCTTGGGGGCTTCTTGGGCCGTCTTGAGCCGTCGGAGAGCCGAAAAGGCGCAAATGCCAAAATCCTTCAAAAACCAAGGGACAATCAATGATTTTGGCCTCTTCGGACTCTCCTGGAGGACCTCTTGGAGGCCTCTTGGGCCGTCTGGGAGGCCTCTGGGGGGCCTCTTGGGCCGTCTTGGGCCGTCTTGGACTCTCTTGGGCCGTTTTGGAGGCCGTCTTGGACCATCTCGGGCGGACTTGGAGGCCATCTTGGGCCATCTTCGCGATTTTTGAGGATGTCCCGAGCGAAACGGCCGTTTTTGGGCATTGACAGATGGATTTTGGGAAATTTGCGGGTGGCCGGCGGGACGGGCCGAAGCCCACTGGGGAGTTCTTTTAGAAAAAGAACCAAAACCAAAACCTGAATCATCCAGCACGCCGTGCACCCCTGCAAGCAGGGGGCGGCGGATCGAAGACGCCTACGGCGAATCACCGCCGCCCCCTGCCTTTTTGGAAACGCCGATGTGGCCGAAAGTTGGACTAGAGCTTGGCCAAGCTAACTGAGTTCCCCGAGTCGGTTTGGAAAGCTTTCGGGGAACACATGGGAGAGAATGATTATGAACAGGAAGAGGAACAGGAAGGGAAGAGGAAGAAATAGAGTAGGAGGATGAGGGTTGTTAGGAGTCTCTTGGGGCACCCTTGGGGTCTGTTGGGGGCTTCTTGGGGGCCTCTTCGAGGCCTCTTGGAGGCATCTTGGGGGCCTCCTTGGGCCTCTTGGGGGCCTTTGGGGGCTTCCTGGGGGTCTCTTTGGCCGTCTTAGGGCGTTCCTGGTCCGTCTGACGCCGTCTGGAGCCGTCTTGGGGGCCTCTCTGGGCCGTCTTGGGGCCCTCTTGGGGCGCTTCAGGGCCGTCTTGGAGGCCATGTTGGGCGTCTTGGAGGCCTCTTGGGCCGTCTTGGGGCGCTCTTGGGGCCGTCTTGGGGGGCCCTTGGGCCGTCATAGGGCCTTCTTGGAGGCCTCTTGGGCGATCTTGGGGGCCTCTTGGGCCGTCGGAAGGCCGAAAAGAAGAAAACGCAAAAAACCTTCAAAAACCTAAGGAAAACCAATGATTTTGGCCTCTTCGGGCTCTCCTGGAGAACGTCTTGGAGGCCTCTTGGGCCATCTTGGAGGCATCTTGGGGCCATCTTGGCCGTCTTGGAGGGCATCTTGGGCCGTCTTGGAGGCATCTTGGAGCCATCTTAGCCGTCTTAGAGACCATCCTGGCCGTCTTAGAGGCATCTTGGAGGCCATCTTGGAACCGTCTGGGGCAGGAAATTGGGGAATTGAGCTCCTGGGCATCCTTTCCGGGTGGCCGGCGGGACGGGCCGAAGCCCACTGGGGAGTTCTTTTAGAAAAAGAACCAAAACCAAAACCTAACAGCTCATCCAGCACGCCGTGCACCCCTGCAAGCAGGGGGCGGCGGATCCAATGGCCTTCGGCCCATCCCGCCACCGTGCTCGGGTTGTAGGTATAAAGCCTATTAGATGTTCGTTGGGATCTCGTGAGGGAGGCAGTCTCGAGACCTCTTTGGGGGCTGTTTTGAGGCCTCTTGGGGCCTCTTGGGGCCTCTTGGGGCCGCTTGGGCGCCTCTTGGGGCCTCCTGGGAGCCTCTTGGGGCGGACGGCTCGGATTTTCGAGTCGTGTTCACTCTCTTGGGCTCCTTTTGGGGCCGTCTTGGGGCCCTCTTCGGCCCTCTTGGGTGCCTCTTGGGCTATGTTGGGGCGCTCTTAGGCCGTCTTGGGGCTCTCTTGGAGGCCTCTATTTTTGCCTCTTGGAGCCCTCCTGGAGCCCTTTTGGGAGGCCTCTTGGAGGCCTCTTGCGGCGTCTTGGAGGCCTCTTGAGCCATCTTGATGTAATCTTGGGCGTCTTGGAGCGATTCTTCGGCGACTCGGGGCCCTCTTGGACTCATGGGAGGGTTCGGGAGGTCGCTTTGGGGGGGCACAGCGTCCACAGGAGGCACAGGAAACACTTCAGGACTCACGGGGAGAAGCCCAGAGAGGCCTGGGATAAAGCTGGTCAGGGCCCCTAGAGACTTACAATTCTCGCTGCAGCAGCAGCACAGCGTCTACCTCTCAGTGCTGCATGAGCCTCGGGGCACTCCACTTAGTGTCAGAGGCACGGTGGCGGATACTTTCATACCACAATACGTACATGCTCGTTGTTTTCTGTTTCTTCGGCTTCTTCTTTTTGTTTGTGATTATTTTCTTATATATTTATGCAACAGTAATATGTATGTATATACATAAATACAAGACTGCATTGGCGCTTCGCGCCGTTCACCTTGGTCCATGAAGCTTAGTATGCAGGCAGAATGGCCGGAAGGTCAAACAGACAATTCAGCGACAACTCTTTGTTGCCTTTTCTGGCATCGCCGTCGTATTAATGTTATTCGTTATCCATCCTCCATGTTTATTTTTCTTCATTCTCGCCCTACCCTGCGAATTCTTCCCCATCCTCCTCAGCTCTTTTTGCGGAGGCTCCTCCTTGGAGGGGGACCTCACGGAAGTTTTTCAGGCTTTCTTCAAGTCTTCTGGAGGCCTCCTGGGCGTCTTCTGGGGACCTCTGGGGGCTTCCTCGGGCCACCCTGCCTCCAACCGCGGTTTCCCTGATCGACCGGGTCACGATTTGGAATACTTCGGAGGGTGTTTGGGGGCCATTTGGGGCCGTCATGGGGCTCTTTTAGGCCATCTTGGAACCCTGTTGTGCCGTCTTGGGCTCTCTTGGACTGCCTGGATGGTTTTGGAGGCGATTACTCGAGCCTCCCAGGCGGTCTCGGACGCCTAGAAGTCTGAAGAGCAGGGTTTTTGTTTCAAAATCATGCGAAAACCTTAGAACATCGCTCTTTTCTACGTTTTGGAAGCCTCTTGGGGGTCTTCTTTGGGTCGTCTTTGGGAGTCTGGTGGGTGTCTGGGGCCTCTTGGGGCCCTCGGGGGGGCGTTCGGCCGCCTTCCTGACCGATTTGGGCCCGTTGCCTATGCCCAGGAGCTCTGAAACGCCTGGAGGGCCTCCTGCAGGGGCGTCCACGAGGTCCCCCGGGCCACAGATCCGGAGGGTCCAGAGGGTCCTGGGGGCCCGGGATTCGGGGAGGGCCGATTTCGGGGGGTGTTGGGGGGTCCCAGGTAAAGGAAAGATATGAACGGGCATATAGGAGGTGGGGGGGTGAGATGGCAGTGAATCTGAGAGCCCCCCATCCGGAAATCGGTTTCGGTTTCGTGTTCGTGTCGTGCGCGCGGGCGAGGCGAAGCTGCCTGGGCGGGCGAGAGAAATGAACCCTCCTCTGGCTACGGCGCCGCCCGGGCCTAAAGACCCCCCACTTGTCCAGCGGTGGCGGGTGTCCCGCGGGTCTCCCACCGGTGTGCCGTCGGTGTCCCGTCGGTGTTCCTCCCCTCTGTGTTGAGATCGATCGTGAGATCGATGGTGAGGCCGGTAGTAAGATCAAGGTGAGATCGATGGTGAGATCGATCGTGATATTGATAATGCGACCGATGGTGAGATCGATGGTGGGATCGATGGTGAGATCGATGATGACCGATCGGGGGATCGATAGTGAGACCGATAGTGAGCTCGAGAGTGGGGTCAATCATGAGATCGATCGTGAGGTCGATCTTGATAACGATTGTGAGAGTGATAACGATATCGTTTGTGGGATCGAGAGTGAGATTGATGGTGATACCGATAGTGAGATCGATATTGAGATCGGTCGAGTGAGATCCATAGTTACATCCGTCGTGGTATCGATAGTGAGATCGATAGTGAGATTGATAGTCAGATCGACAATGAGATCGATAGTGAGATCGATTGTGATTTCGATCGTGATATTGATAATGAGACCGACCGTGAGAGCGATCGTAAGATCGATGGTGAGGCTGATAGTGAGATCGATCGTCACATCGATAGTGAGATCGATAGTGAGTGAGATCGATCAGGTGAGGCGTTGGTTTCTTCCCCCGAACCTCCTTATCACCCGAAGGGTGATGGTATAGGGCATGTATCTGTGGTGCCCATTATCTTCCTGCCTCGTTGATTCACTCTTTCATCCCCCTCCCCCTTCTTCTCCTCCACCTCTTTTGGAGAGCAGGCGCAAGGACCGACTACCATCGGCCATGGCGTAGGCAGAGTACCACAGGACAGACACCTTTCTCTTATAACATTGGTTTGCGCTTCCCCCACCCCAGCCTGGGCTTAGCGTCGCGCAGCACGTCAGATCACACATGTTTGGCCACATGCTTTGGTTTCGGCCTTTGCGCGTTGCAGGCGCCTCTCCGCCCTCGTCGTCGTCATCCTCCCATTCTTCCCTCGTCCTCCCCCCCTCCCCTCCCCCTCTCCTTGCCTCTTCCTCCTGATGCAGCTTTTCCTCCTCCTTCTCCTCTCGCCCTCACTCTCCACCCCCATCCTGTCTCCTCCTCCTCAAAACTGGCCTCCCTGGTGGCACCTCCAGGGCACGATGCAGTGTTAAAACATCCTCCTCCTCCTCCTCCTCCTCCTCCTGCTCCTACTCCTTCTCCTCCTCCTCCTCCCTCTTCGTCCTCGTCCTGCTGCTGCTGCTCCTCTTCTTCTCTCCTCCCCGTGCAGGAGGAGCTGGGCAAACTGACCGACGAGCTGGGGGCCAAAGAGATGCTGGAGGAGCCGCGGCAGCCAAAACGGCAGCGACGGTTGGGCTTTGCCCCCCATCGCACCCGACCCCACACCGCACCTTGCCCTGGGGCATGGGCCGAGGAAGGAGGCAGGAGGAGAGGGGGAGGGGGAGGCAGGAGGAAGAGGAGGAGCAGGTAGAGGACGACAACATATCTTCATTGGGGGTACCCGCAATAGCGCTAGACTGCGCGCTCGTCGTCCCTCGTCCTCGGCTTTTCGCTGAAAGGTGGTCCCTCCTCTTGGTACGGTTTAGCGTCATTCCCCGTGAAGTCCTTGGGGGCCCCCGCGGGCCCCTGGAGGCCCCTGGAGGCCCGAAGAAGGGCAGGAGCTCCCAACACACATGTGTTTCGAATACGTCCAGGCACCTCGACCAGGTCCCTCCCTACCCACTTTCCCTTTCTCCTCGCAGCCCTCCGCCGTGCCGCGGCTTGCCAGATTGGCCTCGCGGGCGCGAGACGAAACGAAACGAGACGCGAACGATGACGATGAGGAGAAGCGCCCGCATCCTACAGCCATTGTCCCGGTAAGGGTTCGGGCCCAGGGTGCTCTTTGTGTGGGCGGGTCTTTGGCCCTAGACCAGATGGGGGGGGGCAAGCATGTGGAGGAGGATTGGGGCACGTGAAAACACGTGCGCGGAGAGGACGGGTGTCCAACATGCGTCTCGGCACGCATGCGTTTGGCACGCGGTTTCAAGTGGTTTCGGCGCCACTGGGGCCACAGGTGGGGCATCCCATGTGTGGTTTCCGCGTGGAAAAAGTGCGGAGGTGAAGGCGTATCCAACATGCGTCTGGCGCATGCTTGTTTGCGGCGCTTGAGGGGGGCCACGAGTGGGGCATCCAACATGTTGGCTCACGAGTAGAACTGCGTGTGCGGAGGGAGGGGGTATCCAACATGCGTCTGGCGCAAGCGCATTTGTTAAAGCGCATCTTCTGTACTCGTCCACGACGACGTCGACGACGTGTCACGCCCGCCCGCCCAGCCGACGGACTCGCTGGCAAACGACGAGGACGCGGAGGAGGGATGAGGGATGCCGGGATGAGGGATGAGGAGGAGGGGATGGCTGTTGTGACGACGACGGCGATGACGATGATGATACCGATGCTGATGATGATGCTGATGATGATGCTGATGATGATGCTGATGACGACGATGATGACCATAATGATGCTGCTGATGATGACGATGACGATAACGCTGATGCTGAGGTTGATGATGCTATTACTAATGATGACGATGATGGCGATGACGGTGACAGTGCCGATGAGGATGATGGTGGTGGTAATGGTGACTGTGATGATGATGGTGATGATGATGGTAATGGTGGTGATGATACTGCTGCTGATGGTGGTGATTATGACGATGTTGATGATGATGATAATGCTGATGCTGATGATCATAATGATAATGGTGATGATGATGACGATGATGAGGATGATGGTGTTGATGAAGATGATGATGCGGATGGTTATGATAATGCAGATGATGGTGTTGATGATGATGATGCGGATGGTTATGATAATGCAGATGATGCTGCTGCTGATGATGATGATGATGATGATGATGATGATGATGCTGACGATGATAACTCTGATGATTGTGGTGATGATGATAATGCTGATCATGATGATGACGCTGCTGATGATGAGGACCATGCTTGGGACTGCGATGATGATGATGCTAGTCTCGATGCAGATGTTGATCTTCATGTTGCTGCAGACGAGGATGAGGATGATGCTGATGGAGATGGGAACGGTGATGCTGCTGCTGATGATGCTGCAGATGCTGATGCTGACGATCATGATGATGTTGATGATGTTGACGATGACGATGATGACGATGCTTATGATACTGATGATGCTGATGCTTATAATGACGATACTGTTGATGATGCTGATGCTGCTGATGATGATGGGCATGATTATGATGATGATGACGTGATGATCATGCTGATGCTGATGCTAATGACGATGATTAGGATGCTGCTGATGATGATGCTGCCGATGGTTATGATGATGATGATGATGATGATGATGATGAGGATGAGGATGATGCTGATTGTGATAATGATGATGATGCTGCTGATGATGCTGATGATGACGATGTTGATGATGACGATGCCAATGATGATGACGATGCCGATGATGATGCTGATGATGCTGGTGATCATGCTGATGATGGTGCTGATGGTGATGATGATGCTGATGCTGATGCTGATGCTTATGATGATGCTGATAAAGGCGACGACTATGATGTTGATGTTGATGTTGATGTTGATGAGGATGATGATGCTGATGCTGATGCTGATGATGATGATGATGATGATGATGATGATGATGATGATGATGATGATGATGATGCTGATGATGCTGCTGATGATGATGATGATGATGATGTTGATGTTGATGATGATGATGATGATGATGATGATGATGATGATGATGATGAGGAGGAGGAGGAGGAGGAGGAGGATGAGGATGAGGATGATGATGAGGATGATGATGATGATGAGGATGGTGATGATGAGGATGATGATGAGGAGGAGGAGAAGGAGGAGGAGGAGGCAGAGGAGGAGGAGGAGGAGGAGGAGGAGGGGGATGGTGGAGGGAGCAGAAGGAGAAAGATGCCGAGAGTAGGAGCAGGAGCGGGAGTGGGAGGAGGGCGTCGAGAAGGATGGAGCACACCTCTCAACTACCGCTGTGGCTTCCGACAGCCCCCGAGGAGGAGGTCAGGCGCCTCCGTACCGAGAGCGCGCGCTACCGCAGGGGCCTGGAGCAGGCCAGCAGCCAGGCTCCTTGGGACCTCCGCCCTTCCCTCCTCCCTCGGAGGATTTCGAGATTTCGAGCGCGCTGCCAGTTTAACAACAAATCCTTGACGCTTCGCGTATCCCCACCAGCGACCCGTAGCGCTTCTGACTCCGCTAGCGCCTTCGCTAGCGGACGCGACCGGAAAGTATCCCCACCAGCCCATCCAGAAACCACGCCCAGGCGAGTTGAAGTGATCAGGGAAGTGTAGGAGCAAAGAGGGGGACAGCCGAACCGTTCGAAGGAGGAGGAGAAGGAGGAGGATGGATGGATGGATGAGGGAGGAGGGAGAGGGATGATGAATAGGGTGAGGAGGAGGATGAAGGATGAGGATGGCGAGCAAAAGGGCCAGGGCCTCTTGGACGCCCCTCGGAGTCTCTTGGGATCTCTCTTGAGCGCCTCTTTGAGGCCTCTTGGGGTGTCTTGGGAGTCCTTTGGCGGTGCAGGGGGCTCTTGGGCGTCTTGGGTGCCTCGGGGGGGGGGCCTCTTGGGGGCCTCTTTGGGGCCTCGTGGGGCCATCTTGGGGCCTCTGAGGGGCCTCCTGGGCGCCTCTTGGGGCCATCTTGGAAGACATCGATCAAACAACTGGGGGTACTAGTTAGCGTCGGCGCTCTTGGGCGCTCTTGGGGTCGTCTTGGGGCTCTCTTGTGCCTCTCTTGGGGCCCTCTCGGGCCATCTTGGAGCCATCTTGAGGCCTCGGAAGGCCATCGGAAGCAACAAGGCGAGAATGCAACAATAATTGAATGTCCGAAGGTTTTTGAAGGATTGTGGCTTCTTAGGGGCCTTCTTGGGAGTCTCGGAGGCCTCTTGGAGCCGTCTTGGGGCGGTCTTGTGGCCTCTTGGAGCATCTTGGAAGCCATCTTGAGCGATCTTGGGCTATCTTGAGCCATCTTGGAGGTCACCGTGGGCTCCCTGAGGCCCACTTGGAGCAGTCTTGGCCCATCTTGGGCGCTCCAACGCGTCGCGGGGCGCCCCGCCCAGGTTCAGGGGAGGGGGTAGGGGGAGGGATCAAGACCCCCTCCCCGCCCGCAAGCCGTCTCGCTCACTCCCACCCGCCCTCCCAACACATACGTAGCACCCGAGTCTGGCCCGAGCCTCAGCATATTGAGCGGTCGTCTTTGGATGGGCAGCTACTGGGGGCCAATCCGCCGCCGCCGCCGCCGCCTCCGCCCGCCTCCGCCCCCGCCCCCGCCCCCGCCCCCGCCGCCGCCGCCGCCGCCGCCGCCGCCGCCGCCGCCGCCCGCCGCCGCCGCCGCCGCCGCCGCCGCCGCCGCCGCCGCCGCCCCCCGCTGCCAAACCGCCGCCGCCGCCGCAGCCGCTGCCGCCACCGCTACGCCGCCGCCGCCGCCGCCGCCGCCGCCGCCGCCGCCCCCGCCGCCGCCGCCGCCGCAGCCGCCGCAGCCGCCGCCACCGCCGCCGCAGCCGCCGCAGCCGCCGCCGCCAAGTGTACTCTGCATTGTTTTTTGACAGGGATGGTGGGGGGGGGGGGGCCGCATCGGGTTGGCTGCGCATGTTCCGAAGTTGGAGGCAGAGTGTGTGTTTGTATGTTTTTTTACAAAGGGATGGTGGTGGGGGGTCGTCATGGACTCGGGTTGGCCCCCAGTCGCCTGGGGGAGGGGGTGTTTATTAATAGGGAACAATGATAACCCTTTCCCCGAAGGGGAATAATGGGGGTTGGACGAGGACACTCCCTAGACCACCCACGCCCTAAAGTGCTGGTGAGATTAATACAACGTTTGGCATTGGTGGGCACTCGATTCAACAGAGGAACACACACAAAGTCATCCCTCTGTCATCGCCTCTCTTGTTTCCATAGCTGGCGCTTGGCGGGCCTCTTCGGGAGTGCGGGTGTTGCCCTTGCACGGGCTTGAGTGGCCACGGCCTCACGCGCCGTGCCCGAGCGGGCACGGGCACACGCAGCCTGCACCGGCGCCTCGCTCGCTCGCTCGCGCGCTCAAGTGAGATCGGGCGCTCTGATTTTGGGGGGCTCTTGGGCTCTTCCTCGACCAAGGAACAAACGACACCACCCCACCTGCGGCCCTGCATGCTGGGCTACGGGCTACGGCCCATGGGGCGCCGCAGCGTATACTACACAAAAGGCCACCCAGGACCCTATGCTATACGCCATGCCCCCCGGGGCCGTAGAGGAGGTGGTGTCGTGTGTTTTCTGGTCCACTTCTGAGGCTCGGGGTGCTCTCTCCAGCCCGCTGGCTGCGCTTCGTCGGGAACCTCCGGGCGGCGCCGGGGCCGCCCCTGCGGCCCGACCCGCCGCCGGACAGTCCAGGCGTTGGCGCCCGCCGTGGGGCGTCGGGGCAGCAGTTGTTGGTCTTCGGGGGCGGTGGCAGCGCGAGTTGTTTCGCAGTGCTTGCTGACGTGTGAGCTGTGGGAGGCTTGCCGATATCGAGGAAGAAACAGCTGCATAAGCATACACTTTGCGCGCTCCGCGCGGATTTCTTGGATCCGCGCTGGGCCCCCTCGGCGGCGCCACCGGCGCCGCCCTTGGCGCGCTCCGCGCTCCTGGGAGGGGGGTCCAGCGCGATCCAAGAAATCCGCGTGGACCGTCGACAGTTTACGTTTATGCCGTTTCGTCTTCTACGATCGCCTCGATGCTTTCAGGGGGCAAGAGATGTTTTTTTTGGGGGTGGTGGGCGGGGCTGGGCTCCCGCAGCCCGTGCCGGGCCCCGGGGCCGACGGGCAGGGGGCCACCGCGCGGAGTGTGCTCGAGAGGCGGGGCCGAGAGCGCCAGGCGCGGGGGGGGCCCCTGCGTCCCTCGGGGGCAACACCAGGGGGGGCGTAGGCACAGGGGGGGCTGCATCGACCTCGAATGGTTGCTGCATCGACGATGCACTGTTGATATCAGGACGATGTGTCGACGATGTATGGACGATGCTTGGGGCGGTCTGCATCGACGATGTGTCGACGACACATGGGCGATGTATCGGCCAGTTGAGGTTGATGCATCCCCACCTGTGCCTACCCCCTCTATTGTTGCTCCTCGGTCCCTCGGTTCCGGTCATCCTCGGCGCCTTCTCAAGGCCGGGGCTCTCTTTAGGCACCATCGTTTGGTATGGCCTGCCACCTTCTGGCCGCCTTTCGTCCTTACGGTCTCTCTCACTACCGATTCTCTGGCTGCATGGCGAATGCCGGGGCGGCGGGGATCTAGGCCCTTCCTCTCAAAGAAGCGCAGACATGGATTTGGGGGCGTGCAACTTCGACGCGCTCCGTCGCCAGATCTGTCGGCGCTGGCTTCACGTTCCGCGCCGCGCACCGTGGATCTGGCGCCCCTCGCTCCAGATCCACGAACCCGTAATTCATGTTGGAGTGTCCCTGATCCCCCCAGGGCTGGACCTAAACGTAGTTTTGTTGGACGTCGGCTGTGTTTTGCTTTTCGTCTTGGCGGGGAGGTACAGGAAAGCAGGTATAGCAAAACGAACAGTACACAAAACGAACAACAACCTTTAGGTCCAGCCCTGTGCCTGATTCCCCCCTTGGCACGACTCCCACTTGGAGCCTGGGCCGCAGCACCAGCGCCCAAGTTCTTCACGTCGTGGGCGCCTCGCCCTACTGCAGCCCCCCCCTCCTCGGCCGCCCCTTCTCTCTTCCCACCGCCACGGTGCCAACTTGCCAGTGCGCAGCCCGTGTAGGCCACCCCGCGGGGAGCGATCGCCCGCGCCGCGACCAAGAGAGCGTGCCCGCCTTTCGTCGGCCAGGCCCGCCCAGAGAATGGCAGCCAACGCGCTGGAACACGCACCACTTCGGGCTCAGGAGGGCCTCTGGTTAGTTCTCGGGCCGCTCCCTGGATCTTGCTCGGGAAGTCGGTTCGTGACCGAGGCTCGCCGTGGCCAGAGAGGCCCCTGCGTCGATAGAGCTCCGCAAGCCCCCTCCGGTCTGCAAGCCGCAGCCCCTGACCCACTTTCTGACGGCTGCGCCTGGCCGCCTTCGCAGCCAGGCGCGGGCGAGACGACGACGCTGCATTGCGGAGGAGGATGAGGAGGAGGAGGAGGAGGAGGAGGAGGAGGAGGAGGAGGAAAGAGGTGGCAGGTGGGGGGGGGAGAAGGAGGAAAGAGGTGGCAGGTGGGGGGGGAGGGCGAGGGCATCACCCCAAGACGCGCACCCACATTGCCTGCCCTGCTGCTGACCTTCCTCCTCCTGCTCCTCCTCCTCCTCCTCCTTTTCCTCCTGCTTCTTCTCCTCCGTTCGCTCCGTTTCCTCCTCCTCCTCCTCCTCCTCCTCCTCCGCCCCTGGAACTGACAGCCCAGGCACCCTTGGGAGCCTGGACCTTCTTTTCCGGCCGCCGCCAGCTCCCTCTGGCTGCGACCACTCCTGCCCGCTCCCCTGGCTGACGCGCCACCCGACGCCGCCCTTCGCCGCCTCTGTGGTCTGCCGCGCCCTTCGCCACCCATGTGACATGCATGCGCGCCTCAGCTGGCCCCCCCCCCCCCTCCCCGCAGGCGGAGAGGCTGCAGCGCGAGCTCGACGAGGCGAGGGCGGCCAAGACTGGGGCCACGAGGCTCGTCTCGGAGAGCCACCACCAAATGGACATGCTGTCCAGCAGCCTCTCCGGCCAGCTGATGGCCGTGGAGTCGGAGCTGCGCGAGCAGACGCAGAAGACCTCTCAGCTCCTGGAGCTCTTCCTGCAGCACTCCCAGACCCCGATGCAGAGGATGAGGCGCAGCTGCAGGCGCATTGCCATGTCTGGGGAGGCGGGGGACCCCGAGGCCGATCCGTGGCTCAAGCAGGTGCCCCCGATCTTCGAGACCGACGTCCACCACCTCCAGGACAATCTCGTTCTTATGGTGAATCTGATTCGCTACCTCGCTGACGTGCACGAGGCGCGCGACAACCTGCTGTCACCTGGCTCCCAATCTCACGCGGGCGCGACCTACTCGGAGCGCGCAGGTGCACGCCCCTCGCAGCGGGAGCACTCCATTGTGTCGCAGCTCGAAGACACGGTTACCGGCTTCGCCACGAAGTGGCTGCAGTCCGGCATGTGATCTGCACCTCGTAGTGCAGTGGAGCTGGTTCGCTCTGGCGGGGCTTGCCATGGTGCAGCGTCGCCATGGTAGAGTGGTGTCGCGGTCGAACCGTCTTGTGGCAGGGGGACAGTGTAGTGGGTGTGGGAGCAGAGCAGAAAAAGAACTCCCGATCCGCCCTCGCCCTTTCTTGCGGCCCCTCACTCCCCCAGGATAACTCTGTGTGTGATGTTTGTAAGAGTGCGTGTATGTGTGTGTGTGTGTGTGTTTCCGTGACCCGCTCGTCGGTCTGACCCCGCATCGGCACACGTTCAATGGTAATCACGCTTAGCGCGTCCCGCTTTTGCTCTCGCTGCGTTGGACCAACGGGCCGGGAGGGACACATGTTTATAGCTATACGTGTGTGTATAATTACATATATATATATATATGCCATTCATGTATCCATACATGCACGCTTACATAACATTCATGCAAACATATATATATACACATACATACATACATACATACATACATACATACATACATACATACATACATACATACATACATACATACATACATACATACATACACACAGACATACATACAGACAGACAGACAGACATACATACAGACAGACATACATACATACATACATACGTACATGAACACATACACACATACAGTCACACACACATCCATACATACATACATACATACATACGTACGTACGTACGTACGTACAGACAGACAGACAGACAGACAGACAGACAGACAGACAGACAGACAGACAGACAGACATACCGACAGGCATACAGACATACATACATGCACACATGCGCATAAACATGCATGCATGCATACATTCATACATAACTGTACACATACGTATATATGTACATCTATATCTGTAGTGCAATGGCCTTCGGCCAGTGCCGCCAATCCGGGGCGTTCTGGATGCGTGTGTGAATGGAAGATGAGGTTGAAATGGACGGCCGACAGTGAACCACACATGTTCGATGACTGACGCCGATGTTCGAGAACGAACGACGGCCCAGAACGATGACGACGACGATGGCGTTGACGATGACGGCGAGGACGAGCAGGACGAGGAGGACGATGACAATGACCAGCGTGCTATGATTCGGAGACATCGTGGGGGCGGAGCCGCGAGGCTCGCGGAATGTAGTCGCTTGAATCATGCCGTTGGCCCGTACAGGGCACTGCTTGCGTTTGCCTGCGCGTTCGGTGACATCGTCGGCGTTTGCCCGTGCGTCCGAGGCCTTCCAGAGCGGACACTGTCCCCCCCGGAAAGCGCTGCACGGCCCCCCCCCACCCCTCGCAGAGCGGATCCCCTCCCAGAGCGGACGGCCCCCCCTGGAAAACGCTGCACGCCCCCCCCCCCCCCCCCCCCCCTCTTGGAGCGCTCCCCCCCCCCTTCCCCGGAAAGTGGTGCACAAGCGTGCTGCACGGCCCCGCCCCCCCTCCAGAGAGCTCCCCCCGCCCCCCTCCCAGAGCGGACAGGGTCCCCCCAGAAAGCGCTGCGCTTTGGGACGGGGGGGAGGAGCGCTCGCATTGGAAGGGGGAGGGGGGGTGCTCTGGGAGGGGAAGGAGCTTTCCGGGGCGGACCCTGTCCGCTCTGGGACGGGGTACTCCCTGGGATGGAAAGGGGGGAGCGTGCAACGCTTTCCAGGGAGGACCCTGTCCGCTCTGAGAGGAGGGGGGCGCCTCCGCTCTGGGAAGGACGGGGGGGCCGTGCAGCGCTTTCTGAGACGGCCCTGTCCGCTCTGGGAGGGTCCCGAGACCTGGATCGCGGACTCCCGGCCTCCTGGACTCCGCTATCCTGACCCAGATCGGGGGCGGAAAAGAGGGGGGTGATGACTAGGGGGTGGCGGATATCATGGTGGGGGCCATGATATTTCCCCAGATTTCATGGCGCCTCTTCTTATTTCATGACGTCCCTGGCCCCCCCGCTGGGCCGCGCACATGTCGCCGGTCATGATTTGCACCCCCCCCTCTTGGACACCCCCCTCTTGGCCGCTCCCGACCAGAGCTCCCAGGGTCGAAGTCCGGGGCTCCGGACCGCGATCCCGGACTTCGATTCCCCGGGCTCTCCTGCCCCCAGCCCTGGCTTCGGCCTCGGCCCCGGCGGGGGCCTCGGCCCCGGACCCCCCGCCCTTCCCAGAGCGGGGGGCAAGGGCCCTCCCCAGAGAGCGCTGCACGCCCCCTTCCCCTCCCAGAGCGGCTCCTCTCCCCTCTCAGAGCGGGCAGGGTCTTCCTGGAGAGCGCTGCACGACGGCCCTCCCGCTCCCGCTTCCTGGGAGGGGGACGGGGGAGCGCCGAGGCCAGGGTCGGGACCCGATCCGGGGCCCCGAGCTCCCGTGGCTCGGAGCTCGGGGTACCCCGAGCCCTGCCGCGGACCCCGGGCTGCGGACCTGGAGCTACTGGGGGTTCGGAGGGCGGAGTCCCTGGCCCTGTGTCGGGGATCCCGGACTCTGGTTCCCTGGCCGGCCCGGCCCCAGCCTCGGCCCCAGCCTCGGCCACGGCGTCGAACTCGGCCCCGGCCCCCCTTCCTCTCTCCCAAAGCGGACAGGGTCTGCGCGGAAATCGGTGCACGGCCCCGCCCCCCCCCCCGAGCGGAGCGGAATGGGTCCTCCCCGGAAAGCGTTGCACACGCGCCGCACGCACCCCCCCTTTCCAGAGGGCCGCGAGGGAAAAGTGCGTGTACATAATTAATTACATGCACATGCATTCATGTTGTATGCATGTGTGTGTGTATGTTTGCTCAGATGTATGTATGTATGTATGCATGCATATGGTTGTATGTCTGCCTGTCTGTCAGTCTGTCTATCTGTCTGTGTATATTATATATATGGTTGCATGCATACATATATGTGTGTATATATGCATGAATGTATATGTGCATGTATGCGTATGTGCATGTACGTATGTGTGTGCATGTGCATGTTTGTATGCTGACATGCATGCAAACATGCATGCTGTTATGCGTGTATGCTTGCATGCAGGCATGCATGTGTGTAGGTTGGGCTGTTTGCTTGCATGCATACGCGTATGCATACATTTGTATGCGTATGTGTATGTGTGTATGGTTGTATGTAAATATGTGTGTGCATGTATCTATCTATGTATGTATGTATGTATGTATGTATGTATGTATGTATGTATGTATGCGTGTATACGTATGCATGTATGCATGTATGTATGCATGTATGTGTGTATGCATGTATGTATGTATGTATGCATGCATGCATGCATGTATGCTTGTATGTATGTATGTATGTATGTATGTATGTATGTATGTACGTATGTATGTATGTACGCATGTATGGATGCACACATGTATGTCTGTAGATGTGTATGGTATTGTGTATGGTAGGTATTCTGTATGTAGGTATGTAGGTCGGTCGGTAGGTAGGTAGGTTTACATGTACGTATGCATGTATGTACATTTGTATGCATGTATGCACGCATATATTTACGCACGTATGCATGAATGCATACATGCATTCATGCATGCATGCATGTATGTATGTATACATGCATGTTTGTCTGTCTGTCTGTCTGTCTGTCTGTCTGGCTGTCTGTCTGTCTGTCTGTCTGTCTGTCTGTCTGTCTGTCTGTCTTTCTGTCTGTCTGTCTGTACGTATTTGTGTGTGCATGTGTATACACACATGTACACACATGCATGTACGTATGTATGAATGTATGTATGTATGCATTCATGTATGCATTCATGCATGCATGTATGTATGTATGTATAACCCCCGGCGGTTTCCTGGAGGCCCCCGAGGCTCCCGGACCGCCCCAGAGCGCTCCAAGAGCGCCCAGGATAGCTTCCAGACCGCCCAAGACCAAGAGGCCTCCAGGACGCCCCGAAAGAGGCCAAGAGCGCTCCGAGACGCCCTAAGATGGCCTCGAGAAGACCAAAGATGCCTTCTAAGAGAGCTCCCGCAGGCCAACATCGCCCCATTCCGTTTTTTCCCTACCTAGGCTCTGCCTGGAAGGGTTTTTACTCTGTTGGCTTACAGGGGCCGGGCAGTGGAAATCGCCCCGGGCGGTTCCCCCAGTCCCCTGGGAGCCAAGCAAAAGCAACAGCAAAGGTAAAAGCAAACGCGCGGTTCCCCCAGTTGCGCTCCCTGGGTGCCAAGCAAAAGCAAAAGCATAGGCAAAAGTGAAGGCAAAAGCAAAGGCACAGCAAAAGCATAGCATAGCATAGCATAGCATAGCATAGTATAGCGCAGCATATCATAGCGCAGCATAGCATAGCATAGCCTAGCCTAGCCTAGCCTAGCCCAGCATAGCATTGCGCAGCATAGCATAGCATAGCATAGCATCGCATAGCAGAGCAGAGCATAGCATGGCATAGCATAGCATAGCGCAGCACAGCATCCACTATTGCTGCTCTCTCTCTCTCTCTCTATATATGTACTTATATGTGTGTGCGCACGTATGTTCCATGCATATTGTCCGTCTGTGGGCCATCTTAAGCCCTTAGTGGGGCAGCTTGCTGCCTGCTTCTGCTGCTGCTTCCCTTACGGCCTGGCGTCGGCGGTTCTGGCGCTACTACTACTACTACTACTACTACTACTACTACTACTACTACTACTACTACTACTACTACTACTACTACTACTACTACTACTACTACTACTACTACTACTACTACTACTACTACTACTACTACTACTACTACTACTACTACTACTACTACTACTACTACTACTACTACTACTACTACTACTACTACTACTACGACTACTACTACGACTACTACTACTACTACTACTACTACTACTACTACTACTACTACTACTACTACTACTACTACTACTACTACTACTACTACTACTACTACTACTACTACTACTACTACTACTACTACTACTACTACTACTACTACTACTACTACTACTACTACTACTACTACTACTACTATTAACGACGACGACTACTACTACTACTACTACTGCTACTACTAGTACTACTAGTGGTAGTAGTAGTAGTAGTAGTAGTACTACTACTACTACTACGACTACTACGACTACTACGACTACTACTACGACGACGACGACGACACGACGACGACGACGACGACGACGACGACGACGACGACGACGACGACGACGACGACGACGACGACGACGACGACGACGA